TTGTAATTGCTGTTGACAGTAAATGTTCTTGTTTGGTACCAGGTTAGCGCTGATTAGCTGTGTAGATTGGTATAGGCCTGGTCAGGGTGTTTGTTTCTACTGACCATGGTTGTCTGATTCCTCATTTGCATGCGTCATGTTTACTTGCAGTTTATCATGTTTGTACACCTGCAGTACTCACTACACTGGGGGAGCCAATCAGCTTCTCTGTCTCATTTTCAAATCTTACCTGAGCAAACTGCTCCAGATTCTGTCTGCTCTGGATTTAATAAATCCCCTCCCTGGACGTTTAGAGTATCTCTAAACCCAAGAACATGACTGCAATATATTGCAGCTCTTCTGCTTCTTAGATATGGTAGCTGCATTAGTTTTCTTTTTCCCAAGACTTTTCCTTTTATTTTCCCCTGGTGATCCTGTCCATAACACACTTGGTGTCCTTGGGTGACAACTCTCAGTCACTGTATTGTATCTATGGAGGAGCAGCAATTTCACCCTTAGGCTCCATTCACACCTAGGTGTTTTGTCACGCCTATTTGTCAGCATTGAAACACTCAAGACAAGAAATCCCATTTATAGCTATAGCCCCTGTTCACACCTGAGCGTCGCATGTAGAAAAACGTCTGTCACTGGAAAATAGCAAATCAGCGCGATTTACAGATACAGGAAAAAAAAAAAGCAAGCACAGCGATACATTTCAACTAGGCATGGAGGCCGTGCTGTGTAGTGTGAATGAGCCCTCTGTGTACTGCATTTAATAAGAAGTGTAGATCATAGGAAATATGAACATTTTGCAGAATATTTTTGCTTTGTTTATCATACTAATACTGTACAGCACAGGTACTGTGTTCAGTGGAATCCAGCCATATAATTGCCCGGTCACAGCCACATTATTGGTAAAGCTGGCCATACGCGGATCATTTTTCCCTGATTTAGCTCTCTGGGCTGAATGAGAAAACCCCGGATTCCCCCAGCCACACTAAACCACTTGTATGGTGAATCTCTCCTGCTGGGCTATTGTATGCTGACATTGGTGTGTGTCGCTATCAGAATACTCCAAGCTGATTGGCTGCAATCACTGTTCAGCTGAGAATTTTTGGACCAATAATCAAAAATTAACTTTTAGCGAATGGAGGTGTACTAACGGGCCTACATTTGGTCAGTTCAGTAGGACTCATTTGAGCAGTATATGGCCAGCTTAAGGCCTGGTTCACACCTGGGCGTTTTACAGGCGTTCCTACGCGCTGTAAAACGCTCAACATGTGAAAACCAATAATTGCCTATGGGCATGGTTCCCACCTGGGCGTTTTACAGCGCGTAGGAACGCGCTGTAAAACGCCCTACGCCCAAAGAAGTACAGGAGCTTCTTTGGGTACAGCCGGATAGCCCTCGGAAACGCGCATTTGCCGTGTGTTTCTTTTACCGCAAATCGCGGTAAGAACGCGCGGCAAACACGCATATTCCGTACGCCCAGGTGTGAACCCAGGCTAAGTGTTGTATTTACCGCTCTCCCAGGTAGAAGAAATTCTGCTTTATCTGATGGGTTCCTGTGTTCTGCATTCTTGGAGCTGTTTCTGCTCGGGGTAGATTACACCTAATCATAGGTTGGTTCTGTAATGATTATTGTCATGTTACCGTATCTAACCTTTTTCCTTCAATAGGACAGCAATCAAAGCTGATTCATAAACCTGAATGCGTCACACGTGCACCTCATGTATTGTTGGCTGTGCAAGTCTATTACATTCTCTCATTCATATGAGTCCGTGTGTGGTTCCTTTCTCCACAATGCCTTTCTGTACACAGCTGCGGAGTGTGAAATTACATCTCAGAAACCTCTTCTGTTTAGGGCTCGTTCACTCCAGATGCAGTGCGTTCTGGTTCCGATTATGGCCAGAACGCACTGCCTCGCATTGCGGCCGGCTCACTTTTTTGCGGGGCAGGAGGGGGGCGTGACGGCCCATTGAAGGGAAGGGCACCGTAGCCACGCCCTCTGGCCGCAATGCGATCGGCTGCACGCAATCACAAGGCACATTATGCGATCAAAATGCTGCCACGCCCCCTCCTGCCCCACAAAAAAGTGAGCCGACCGCAATGTGATCGAGTGCGTTCTGGCCATAATCAGGCCGGAACGCACAGCATCTGGTGTGAACGGACCATTACTGTTTTCTAATCTCTGCAACATCTGAAAGGAAGGAAAGTTGCAGAAATGTGTGCATTAGTTATTTTGGGCAGCTTGGGACAACTGACTAGCCTTGGTGTGCTGGTGATATACTTTACTATTTGAACTGACTAGCCTTTTCACAGACATTTGCAGAAATGTGTTTTTCTCATGTCAGAGCTTCCAGGAAGCAGAACACTGAGCAGCGCAATAATGACCAATAAATCTCACTTTAAAATCTCTAGCAGCCGGGCAGCAGTGCCTTAGATCTCACACTGGAGATATAAAGCTGTATGCACAGGAGTGCCTAGGCACCCTCACATGCCAGAAGGTGCTCTTCTATTTTTCAGGAGGAAATCCAGACAAAATGTACATTTCTCAGAATGCTGCTTAGGTGCAATAAACCTTTCTAGATGTTCACTATAAGATGGCAGATCTTCACCTTTTGAGTTTAGGTCCGCTTTAATTCCAACCTTCAGTGTGAAGATTCTGCTCCAGTGCTCGCCATTAGAAGAGACATGGCAAGTACTGTAGGATTATATACACATTTACTGTAAATCTGGGCATTCAAAAGACTACCACAGGGAGGAAATAGCTGAATTGGTTTTACAGAAATAAAATATTGCACCTGACTGATCAGTGTACTGTACCTTTAAATGCAGCAATGTAAAGTGCAACTGAAACCAGCATTTTGTGGAAGTGTGGGGAGGGATGAGAACACCTGTCCAGTTTTTATTGTTGTCTGAGCCCCCATTAGGGAGATTCACCCTCTCAAAAGTAAAAGGAAATCCCACATTTTGGGTTGTCATCAGAACAGGAATTGATGGGAAATCATCCAATGGGGATACTAGTTATGGTGACCGTGCTGACCACCAGGGATTATTCTCACTTTGAAGGGATTCCCTCTCACTTCCTGTTGTGGCTCAGACAGGAAGTGAAGGAAAATCCCTCCAGTGGAATACCGATGGCAAAAAAAAAAAAGCTGATACAGGTTTTAACTTCCCTTACTCTATCCAAAACTTTAAAAAAAATGTTTGTCTTCAGTTCTGCTTTAGGGCACTTCTAGACAAGTCATATCGTTGAGTTGACTTCTGATGCTAACCAGAAAGTATTCTCAGTGTTGGAAAGTCCACTCAAGTTAGCTAAAATATCTTAAAACTAACTTGAGCAGCATTTTTATACTGCTTTTGGGTGAGGTGTGCAGTGTCATGACAGTCTTACAGTGCCTTCTGTTGTCTGTGATCTTCTATTGATTGATTTTTTAATGATCTCGGGGTGTATGTGATTAAACATCCCACATGCGTTTGGTATATTTGAGAAGACCTTGCATTCACAGTCCTTGGATTAGGCATTTCTGGGAATCCGGACTGCCGGTAAACGGAGGACTTTGCACAGCAGGGTGGCATACTCGGGTATTGCAAGGATGAAAAACAAAGACTAGGGCTGGCAGACGTGCCCCTTCTGTGTGCCGATTATCTGGCCTATTTGAAGTACATGTATATAGCAAAATATCAGGAGTATATCCACTACAACACCTCTTCAGCAGTTCATTATAATCCGAATTACCAAATGTTAGCCCTCAGGTACATCCTCTACAGCTCAGAAGTTTTCATGTCCTTGTAAAATTACAGCACAAGGGAGTGTATAGATTTTCTGCCATTATACCATATGCCTAAAACGACATCTCCCAGCATGCCGTGCAGACACACATCATAGTATTATGACCCAGTAACTAGCCATGGCAGCACTGTCAGTCAGACACAGAGCAGTGATTACTCAGACCCTATGCCTATTACATTTATTTAGCTTTTTCTGATCATGGAGTTCAGCTTCAAATCTGTTAGGAGGAATGGGTATTTGTGGATATCTGAAACTCCACTACTAAATGGAATCTATGTTTAAAAACTGAAAATAAATGTGCATTTCTATACTAAATTTCTATAAGTTCTATCCCACTCCTAATAACCATATTGCTCTAGAAGTCTGTAAACGTACTTATTGAAGATGCCCCTTCAGCAAAGTTTTTTTCTTGACATTTTTACCCAAACAGTTATCATGTTTTCAAACAGCTCCAACTCTCTCAGCTCAGCTTTCCTGCACTTCCTGTCCAGTTCAAGATTGTAAGGGACAGAGCAGTCTTCAGCAGCCCTCCATCTACTAGCTTGGAGGAGTGAGCATGGTAGTGGATTGCCCCATTTTTGTCTGTGTTTGTGGAGTCACACACACCTTAATAATACACAAGGGTGGCTCCATAGGACCCTGCAAGGGCCATGATCCACTTTAAAATAGGATATTAGGGCTCAGGGGACCAGCTGATTGAGCAGGAAACTAAAACTTTTAAACATCAAGAAGCAGCATCCATTGAGCTCCAGGATTGCTCCTGTTATGGACACCATTCTCATGTTTGGTTTACTAAGTTGTATTGAAGTTATAGTCCACAAATGATGCACAAACAAATATACATTTTTATTATTTGTTAAGGTACTGGAATGCATTTTTTAAGAGTCAACTCCGAGTTAAGTATCACTTTAAGCCGTGGCTTACCCAGTGAATGGGTGAGCAAGTTGTGAGGGTGATGGGCAATAATATTTCTCTGTATATAGTCAAAACAAAAGTAGGTATACAACGTATGAGGCAGCTCCAGTGCACTCATGAAGTATTTCTTTGTGTACATGTATATAGATGTTGTATCTCATTACGTTTATTGTGCTCTGATTTTTATCTAGTCATGGTTGTATCATTGTACATTTTTTATTTGTGTAATGTCTGTATGTAAGTTTACTAAATACAATATTATTTTCTGCCTGTAACAAGTTTGTTGTCTTTTGTGTTCTATTACAGGGAGAAATCGAGTCGGATAAAGGGTTGTTAATGAGAAAACTTGTCCTGTCCGGAGTGCTGGCAAGTGAGGAGATCTATATAAACCAACTGGAAGCTTTGCTTTTGGTGAGTATGTGACTTTTGGTTTTGACCATTATTCTTCTGGATAACATGATGGCGTTGCTTTAAAAGTTGATATGGACAGGGCCGGATCTCCATTTCTGCAGCCTGTAGGTACACAACTGTTGTTGTCCCTATGCCCTGATTACAGCAGAACATTTTCTTGTTTTACTTGTCTTTTACTCAGCTCACAATATAAATACAAGTAAATAAGCTTATATGAGATGAATAATAATGTTCAATGAATGTATGGGGTAAAGCCATCTCTTCACTGCTTATAGACCCAAGTCTACAGTCCCTACTGGTAAATCAGGCTTGGGTATTGAATACGCTAATACAAAGGTTGAACGTGAGTAATACACTAAACAGTTTTGTGACACAGGATGCCAACCAGCCTGTATGTGAGCTGATAGAGACCTCTGTGTTCCATCAAAATCCATTGGGTTAAGGAATGGGCTAAATGAAAATCCTGGCCATACCTCATCCATCAGTGTATTCTTTTAATTTTAGAAATGCATATGTTAAATCAGAAGGCTCCAGTTAGAAAGATTCAATCCTGCAGATTCAATCAGGCTATGAGGGCTGAGGAGGTGCAGGACCCACACATGGAGGGGATTTTTTTAAAACTGGAGCAGACAAAACCTGGAACAGATGTGCATGGCAACCAATCAGCTTCTCTCTTCAGTTTGTCCAGTTAGGATTTGAAAATGAAAGAGAGAAGCTGATTGGTTGCCATGCACAGCTGCTCCAGTTTTGGTACATTCCCCCAATGGTGTTATTTGGTAGGAAAATGCAGTTGACTCGCTGACATTTGATGATACACAGGACATTTCAGCACTCAGTGAAGTGTTAGCCATTAAGGACACTTGCATTGTTTTAGATCAATTGTCCGTATAGAAGACATGTTTGAACTCTTTCCCCCGTTAGCGCTAGACCTAGCAATCCACAAACAAAACGTTCAGATTTGATCTGTCATATCAACACAATTTACCAATAGCTATACCTGGCTATAAAACGTTCAGTCCATCAGCAATCAACAACATTCTAATGTGGAAGCGCTGACTTCCAACTTGTCATGAAGTCTGCATTATTCCTGGCTGATCTTATTATCTCCGTGCTGAAGGAAGACATTAACCATATCTGTGCTGCTTTAGTCCGGTGTGTCCAACCAGGTGCATCAGCAGATCCTGGCACTGAGTTGACAAGCAGATGTCTCCCCATGCAGCCAAGGAAAGACTCATGCCCAATGTGGTATCAGGAAAATCACTGTGGTGTTGGAATACATCTTCCAGTAAGCATTTTTGAAAGAAAAATTGCCTGGCTATGGAACAAGTACACAGGAAGGCAGCCAGAGAGTCAGCAGGAGAGCCAGGAAACTAGCATTTTCAGGTGTAGAGGTCAGTAATGACAACCTCTACTGTTTCCATATGACAGATTCGCTTTTCAGTCTGTCTCTTGTAGTGTGTGCTTCTTTAAAAATGTAAGATACACCAGCACCTTTTCATTAAATCCATAAATTGTGTCATGTACTAAACATTTCACTTGAAGAACATAAACCAATGACACCAGCACCTTTCATGCCATGATCTTAAGAAAGGAAACTGTGTGTGACAAATACGTTTCTGTGTGGTCTGGCACAGAAGCATTTAAGCCAGGGGTCTCAAACTCGTTTCACTCGGGGGCCACTCCACATTTTTTTTTCTCCCATGTGGGCCGCTCGCCAAATTACATATTTAAAATGAAATAAAATGTAACTATATCCGGTTTGGTACTATGGACCCCAATACACACACAATACGGCCCCATTCATATCTGTAAGTTTAGATACTATCAGGGATTCCTGTGTCAGGAACTTGCGTTTTCCTGCAGCAGGAATGGCTAATCTGGCCGCTCTTACCCCTCTGAAGTTAATGATCAGGTGACATAGCAAGATAAAAAAAATGGTAGGTATGGCGAGCGCACAACAGGTGTAAATTTATGGAAAGCTTTATAAAAAAGGATTTTAAAAGGATTTAAAAAACAGGTTTGGGTGAGCGAGCTACTTAGTCAGGGAGAGGAACCCTGTGGGCAATAATAGAAAAACAAAGAAAGAAGCGCTACAACCCTAGGATTCTTATTGTTAAACAGTTTGGAAACTTTGTATAAATCTCGATGCAGACTCACTTTTGCACGGACGAGGTGGTGTCTTGCCGTTGAAGAGTGAGGGCTGTATGTCGGCTTGGATCGCAGGGCGGCATCTATGGCTGGTCTGTCTGGATGTGAGCTACACGGCTTCTAATGGGTCCATGGGTTTTGAGGGGTGATTGATGTGACTAGTGGGTCCGTTCGAGCGGGATATATATTTAAGGCACTCTCCGTCAGGTGCAGTGAGAGCGCAGCTGGCCAGGCTGCCACTCGTCAGCTGAACGGGAGCAGAAGTGCCGCTATATAGCGATCTAGCAGAGGGTTGGCGGTCGTTGTGGAAGAGGTTCAGGAGCGGGCACCAGGCTGAGGGACCCTGCTGTCCGTGGTTTGGCTATGTGCCTCTTTGTCCCAATTTAACAGCATTTTTATTGGCCATACAGATCACTTTTATGCCATTCCTAAGGCCACTTGTAGCATATGTGGCAGAGAAATTGTTTACACTTGCAAAATAGTTTCCTCCTGGGATACTGTGTACCTCCAGCTAAGAGCTCCAGCTTAAACCATGAAGATTGGTTTGAGTGGAGCTTGCTGGGAAGATAGATCAGCGTTTCTGTGCACCTCTTCCCATGTGCTCTCATTTATAATTCCTGTGTGTCGTATGTGGTACCTTTCGGGGTTCTTTTCTTTCTTTACTCTGGTGATTTTGTTCTGCTCTCTACACTTCCTCATCACACAGCACACACATGATGACATCTTGCAAGAAAGGGAATTGGAAATTCAACACCTGGCTTTCTTTTTTAAAGAGCCAACACCATGCAGGAAGTGAAACCAATCCGTGAACATATATAATTATCCCTAAAACTACTGTCACATGCTGAATGTCAATTTTATATTGAAACTGCCATCTAGCCAAGCAGCTAAATACGGATGAAATGAATGAACCTTTTTTTTTTACTTCTAGTTCTGTGGAGCCTGTTTTGGAATCTAGAAACCCTTGTCAGATACTCTGTTATTAAGCTTGTTCTTGATAACACTGTACAAAGCAGTAGAGCCCTGATTGCCTTAAAGTTCTCCCCTTACCTCTAGAAACACAACCCTGCTGATGCTGGCAACTGCCAAAAACAGACAGATGGACCACCCTGCAGTAGGACACCCCAGGAAGAATACTGCCACCATTGCTTACCACTCTTCAAATATTCTGTCTGAGTGTCCTACTGATCCTCTATCCCTGACAGCTTCCAAAGCATTGATCCAGAAGAAGTATGAGATCAGGCGATTGCATTTCACTGCATACACGTTCTGGCTCTTTGATTTAGAAAGTAATGAGGCCAGGGACAGCTTGGGAGTTAGCTGTGGCAGCCCATGTATTCCTCTGATGACAGTTGCCTTCTGAAGTGGGCCTGTGGTTTACAAATAACTTTCATTTATTATAATAGTGCACCTACATATTTTTTCTAAAAAGTTCAACACAGTACCACTGTCACTGACAGGAAGGCAGGACCAAGAGTGCAGGGGGCAGGGTAATAGTAGGAGGACCAGATGGAGAGCAGAGAACATCGGGGGGTGTGATGTCATCACTTTTGATGACATGACTGTGGAGTATTGGGGGACTAGCCTAAGGCTACATTGGGAGTTGGGAGATCATAAATACCCAACTCGTGCCTTTGACTGGGATCCTTGCCCAAAGCTGTAAAGACTGGGGACAGGGGGGCTGGTTCTTACCCTTGTATGTATTTCAGGGTATTGTTACTGTTTTTGACTTCATTGTACCTTGAAGAGATTTTAAACCTCTGCTGTAAAAGTAAATCCGTGGAGTGAACAGTTACCCCTTTTGGGTAACACTACAGCATGCTTTACTTTGTTTCTGCACTCACTCCGTACCTTTTATATTGTGCCATGAACCGCTCCAGCCAGATCAAGAAGCCTAAGCTTTTTTTGTCCTGATTTGCGCCTTCCGTCTAGGACATGGTCCGGTGGAGGAGTGGCCACACAACGCCCTCCTTGCGGTTAGGGCAATATAAGAAACTATAAAAGCATGTTATTTTTTTCTATAGAAAGGGATGTAATTGGTTTAGGTTTGGTGGCCATTTTTAAAAGCAGTACTTAGCAGAGTTGTTCCTTAAAATTGGTTTTAAAATTTCTGCTTTTCATCATCTATATGGCTGCGAGTTGTTGCCATGGCGATGTGCCAGAGTGGGCGGTTCTCAGCCACGGCACTCATTGTGAAGACAGCTGTGTAACCGACTGCTACATATATTGCTGCTATTAAGGAAAGTCAATACTCCAACCATGTTCCAAGAAATATGGCAATGTATGTTGTGCAGCCTTTGAATAAAAGCAGCACTTGCATGCTAATCATATGCCTTTTACAACAGTTTTCTATGTCAGCTTTGCTGGTAATTTTGGGTCTGTGCAATGTACAATGGATGCACTGAATTAATGCCAGAAGAAGGTATATTTATAGTAGCTGGCAGGATGCATTTACTTAGAAACATTGATAAGGCTGCTCGAGAAAGTTTGAAAGCTAAACTGTGGAATAAGAAATGTACACTTTTGTCGTGGAAAATCTGGGTTTAGTTTACATAAACTTACTTTATAGCTCTTTGAAAAAGTAATATTGGAACTTGTAGGGGATACCAATTACATAAAACCATCATACATCTACTTTTTTGGTGCTACAGCCAATACAGTCATATTCCACATTTTCGGTCTATAAAAATACAAATGTTATTTCTATACACAATGTGTAACAAAGTACACACTATTAGAAGACCTAAATATGTCGGGTTACAATACTTAGGAATTTATCCAAGATATAGAATAAGAAACAAAAGTACACCGACAAACGGTCCCTTTCATTTTTTTACAAAGTATTCTCAAAT